CCATTTCAAGTTTTTGCTTTTTTTCCTCTGCGCTGGTAGTTTTTTTGACATAATTCTTTAATACTCATTGACTCTTTATTTCCCATACCAAACCTTACTTTAGCAGATATGATAGGTTTTATAATCTTTCTTTCCAATTTTTCACGAGGTGTAGGATTAGGTATAGCATCCATTTGTTCAAGCATCATTTTATCAGCTAAATTTCTATGCTCTTTGTCTGGATAATGCTTATAAGCAAGATCATGAATATAAGCTGTTTTATCAACTCTATCTACAGGCATACTCCATTCTTTAGGCATCTCAATAGAAGTTAATCTTTCATCTAAATTAGTACCAGGTCCTGCAAAGTTCATACCTGGTATATGCATTTCACCTGGAAACTTTTGCAAAGGTAATTTTCTATTACTTGTAAATTTATTAATAGATTCTACCAAATCACCTCCTTTTTTTCCTTTTGTAAATTGACATTTTCTTGTTCCACAGATTGCACAATTTCCACATATCATATTTCTTTTGTTTTTACTCACAGCATGTTGTAAGTTGAGTGTATCTGTTTTGTTTTTACATTTAACGCAGTACATTTTTTATATATGTATTTTAATTTATTTAACACAAATCTATTTAAAAAATACTTTTCATAAATAAAAAATGGAAATTATAGATTTATCATGGAATGTAAATAAAAGTAAACGTCATAATAATGAGCTATTACCTAAAAGTATAAGAGGTATTATTGTTGGAAAATCAGGTTGTGGAAAGACAACATTATTATTAAACTTGCTCTTAAGACCTGGTTGGCTAGACTATAATCATTTACAAGTTTTTGGAAAGTCACTTTTTCAACCTGAATACAAAATATTAAAAAATTCTTTTGAAAATAAATTACCAAAAGAAGTTATTCTTGAACTATTTAAGTTGCAAGATCAAATAAATAAAAACAATGTAAGTCCAGAGTTTGTTATTAAAAACATTTCAAGAGATTTAAAAGATAAAACAGATATAGAGTGTCAATTTTTTGAAACAGCAGAGGATGTACCAGAACCTGAAAATCTTAACTGTATTAAAAATAATTTAATGATATTCGATGATTTACAATTAACAAAGCAAAACAAGTGTGAAAAGTACTATATAAGAGGAAGACATAGCAATGTAGATTGTTTCTACTTGGCGCAAAATTATTTTGAGTTGCCTAGGAGAACGATAAGAGAAAATGCAAATTTTATATGCTTTTTTAAACAAGATTCTAAAAATGTAAATCATATTTATAATGACCATGTTTCAAATGATATGAAATTAGATGAGTTTAAAAAGTTTTGTAATGAAGCTTGGTCAAAAAAGCATGGATTTGTTGTTATAGATTTATCTTCTGATTTATTAAATGGAAAGTATAGAAGTGGATTAGATTTATTTTATTATCCAACTTCATTGTGGAATCGATAAATATATATTTTTTAAAAAAATATATATATTTTTTATGAAGACTTAGCGAAGCATTGGTTCTTTCAAAACTTAGCGAAGCCTGGATCACGATGTGATCTAAAGAAGAAGACCTAATAAGGGTATATTCTTAAATGGAGAATTTTCTCCTAATAACAGCAGCTGCAGCTGTTCCAGTCAATAATCCTGTTGCTATAGCCGGAACAACTTTTGATGCAATTACACTTCCAATTAATCCTAGTAGAGGTAGAAATCCACCATTTTTTTTAGCATTATGTTTAAGTTGTGCTCTACTCAGTGAAAGTGTTATACCCTTATTTTTTAAATAGGCTGCTTTCATTCTGTTTCTTTGTGACTCTGTTAAAGCTATTTTGTGTTCACCATTTAAATCTTCATATGATAGTTTTGTACTAGCATTAGTATCAGATTCAATTGGTTTTTTAATTTTTTCTTTCTGACTATCTGAAAGATTGATAAGAGTATCATAGTATTTTGTCATTTTTATATATAAAACAATTTTTTTAATTCATTTTAAGTTATTGCTTTCTGTAATGCTTTATAGTCATCATCATCTATTTGACCCTGTCGTAACAACTCATCACAAATAGCAACAATCTCATTTCTTGTTCCAGTATTTCCTGCTTGTAAACCAGCTAAGCGTAAAGCAGGATAGCTTGAAAAAGTATTAGCTATTTGATTAGCTTTATTTTCTAATTTAGATATACCTTCTTTTATTCCAGATTGGCTATCTATTATTGGTTTGTACAAAGTTAGTCTGTAAAGCATCATAACCTAACTTTTCATTAATAGAATCTTGATATACACTTTTCTTTAGCCCCTCAAGTTCTTTTGCTATTTTTAATCTTGTATCAATATCTGTAGCTTTTGCATACATTTTTATATATGCAATAATTTTTTTTAAATCACAATGTGATTCTCAGATCCCTAAAGGGATTAAATCAACATATATTATGTTAGTAATACATAATATATGTTCAATTAATACAAAATATATGTTCAATTAATACAAAATATATGTTTTTTTATTTAATTCTTAAGAGTATTATTCATCACTCCTATATTCTGATTTTTGTTAAATCTCATATTTAACACTTCAATGACATCACTTTTGCCTTTTTCTATTCCTTTGTTAAATATTGACTCTTTAGTCTGCTCATCTATATCATTTTTAGATTTTGTTCTAATTTGCTCAGTCATAGTTTGAAACTTTTCAAGTTCTGAAAGTATCATATTAAATTCTACATCATCAATATATTGATCTGATATAGCTTTAGAAATAAGACTACTTATTGTATTTAGTTTTGCATCAGCTAGTACTTTAATCTTTTCATGCTTTTCTGCTTTTATCGTTAATTTTTTAATAGCTTGTGATCCTATTAATGATAATACACCCATACCTAATGCTGCAATTTCACAACCAATAGCTACTGGTGTTCCAACTATTGTTGTTAAAAAACCAATACCAACAGCTCCAAGTGCCATTGTGCTAGCTAGTAATGTATTATCAACTGCTGAAACTATTCTTAAAGATTTGTGATATTTCTTACTTAAGATCTCTCTTCTAATTCTTTCACATTCTATCTTATTTTGAATTTCATTTATTTTAACTAATCTAAAATTCTGATCAGATAGTGGTGGTGCAGATGGATTTTCTGAAAACTGGTTAAGATCTGGATAAAGCTGTTTACATTCATTATTACATTGCATTTCTTTTTTCTATAAAGAAAAATTTGTTTTAAATCACTTTTTACCAAAATCAAATAGAGCATTGTCAGATTTATCTATACTAGGTTTATCTTCATCACATATAGTTTCTTTAATTATTCCCCCTATACTTGATAATAAAGATTTTACAGATTCTTTATCACTTTGAGATCTAGCTTCTACTTTTTTATCAGGTTCTAAAGCAGCTCTATGTGATATATGATTTGTATTAAAAACACCATTATAAGATGAAATACAGCATAACAAATCTCCTTTTTTAATGTTTATATCTTTTTTATCGTTATTATATAAAGTTATTTTAATATCATCAGTAGACTCTATTACAACAGAATTTAGTAAATTTAGTTTTGGTTTATAATTTTCTGCAAGTGAAATCATTACATGCCCTTTATCTATTTTAACTCCACACATTAAAGAAATACTATTATATGAATTTGATTTTACTGTAAAATTTTCTTGTGCAAATACTTTAATATGTCTATCATTTATTGCTTTATGTTCTAAATCTGAATTAATATTAAAAGTTATTGTATATTTTTCATGCTTTTCATAATCTAAAAACATTCTTCTCTAATACATTTTAAAATGTAAAGATTTTTTTAGATCACTATAAATATAATACTTTTAAAGTATGATATTTTTTCATTTTTTTAAAGTTCTAACAATATAATTTAAAATACTTTCACCTTGATGTAAAAAATAACATGTTTTATCACTGTTATTTTTATATATTGTTTCTATTTCTCCTTTTTTATTTTTATTTAATTTACTCTCTACTAATTTACATGGAGTATAATGACAAATTTCTACATTTTCTTCAATTTCTTTTTTAGAATGAGCATATTTGCAATTTATATTTTTACATTCTTTTTTATCAAGAATATATTTGCATAATTTAGTTTTAGCTTTTCTTAATTTAGATAATTCTGACTTTTTAGGATGAAATAATCTACACTCTTTATTCCTACATTTAGGATAATCATAGCAAATATGAATATGCCTATATTGACATGAAGATTTAGTGCATATTAGTCTTTCCTTTACAGTATTACAATAAGGAATATCATGATTGTATTTACATTTTCTTCCAAAAGGGCAGAAATTATCATTTAAAATATTTTTACAGAAAATGGGTAGTTTCTCTACAAAATGAATTGTTGAAGGTTTTCCATCTTCAGTAAAATTAATATCAACATTAAATGGTTTTTCAAAACTAAATTTTCTTTTTTTGTAATGTTTTTTAAAAGAAGTATTATCTATAGCAGGATAATCATCATTAATAACATTATAAGTTGGAACATAATTAATCCATTTCAGCTTATCTTTATGCAGTTCCATGATTTGAACTGTTTTTAAAGGAATTGGAACTATAGGTTTTTCTTTAACTTCATCTTCATCATCAGATGTAAAATAAGTAGCTTCATCAGATGTATAATAAGTGTCATCTTCAGAATCTGATTCTTCAAACTCAAATTTTAATATTTCTTCAAAAAGTTTAAATTCTTTTTGAAATTCAGATATTTTATTAATCTCATCATCATTCATTTTTATTTTTATTATTTGTAATAATATTTTAAATCAAAAAAATTAAAAATGAGTTAAATAAATTTCTTATGTATATAAAAAGAATGGAAAATAAACTTGAAGAATTATTAAAATTAATAGATGAAAGATTAAGATTAATAGAAGAAAAATTAAATATTATTAATACTCATGATATTGAAATGACTGAAGATTCTGAAGTTACTACAGTTACTACTACTGAAGTTACTGAAATTACAGAAACTACTGAATATAGTGATGATAATGATATTGAAATGACTGAAGACGATGATGATGAAGAAGTTACTACAGTAGTAGTAACTACTGAAATTACAGAAACTACTGAATATGATAATGAAGATGATGAAGATGAGGTTGTTGTATTTGATTATGAGACTACACAGAATTAACAATCTTTTATTATTTTATTTTTTTTACAAAAATAAAAAAATTGAAAATGAGTTAAATAATTTTCTTGTGTATATAAAAAGAATGGAATTAGAAAATAATTTTGAGAATAATAAATTTTTATTAAAACCTTCAACTCAGTTATATTATATTACTTTAATATTAAAAAAGTATAAATATGAAAATCGGTATAAAAAAGTTGACTTCGCTGCAAGTATAGGGAAAATTGATCTAATTAAATTATTAATTAAATTGGGAGAAAAAGGTACAGATAGTGCAATTAATAATGCTGTTCAAAATGGACATCTTGAAGTAATTGAATATTTACATTCAATAGGATATAAAGGTAAATATTGTGCAATTAATTATGCTGCAAGAAGAGGCCATCTTGAAGTACTTAAATATCTACATTCAATAGGATATAGAGAAACAGAACAAGCAATTAATAATGCTGCAGAAAATGGACATCTTGAAGTACTTAAATATTTACATTCAATAGGATATAAAGGTACAGATAGTGCAATTAATAATGCTGCAGAAAATGGACATCTTGAAGTACTTAAATATTTACATTCAATAGGATATAAAGGTACAGAACAAACAATTGATTATGCTGCTGGAAGAGGACATCTTGAAGTACTTAAATACTTACATTCAATAGGATATAAAGGTACAGATAGTGCAATTAATAATGCTGTTCAAAATGATCACCTTAAAGTACTTGAATATTTACATTCAATAGGATATAGAGAAACAGAACAAGCAATTAATTTTGCTGCTGGAAGAGGACATCTTGAAGTACTTAAATATTTACATTCAATAGGATATAAAGTTACAGATTGGGCATTTGAATTAGCTGCAGATAATAAACAACTTGAAGTACTTATATATTTACATTCAATAGGATATAAAGGTACAGATTGGGCAATTGAATTTGCTTTAAGAAAAGGATATCTTAAATTACTTGAATATTTACATTAAAAAATTAGGCGCATGCGCATTAAAACAAGAAAAATGAGCTAAATAATTTTCTTGTGTATATAAAAAAGAATGGAAAACGAAATGCAAAACAAAATAATTAATCCAGAATATTTAAACTTAAAAAAAAGAATAGAAGTAATGAGTAAAGATTTAAAATTAAAATCTAAAAAATTCAGTAAAGAAACAAAATCAGAACTAGAATCAGAATTAGAATACATAAAGATAATAATAAAAAATATATATAATCATGTTGATAAAAAAGAATTATTAGAATTAATAAAACCAGAATTATTAATATTAGATAGTGAAATGATATCAACAAGAGATATGTTGTTAAAAATATGTGATGATGAAAATGTAGAAATATTAAAGTTAAAAGCAGATTATTTAATAGAAATATTAGAAGGAATAATAGATATAATAAAGTATTTCTAAATCCCAGCGCATGCGCACAAGAGCAATCTGTGATAGAAACAGCAAGAAAAGTCATATGACGTCACAGCAAGAAATGAAATTGACTCTGATTTTAAAAAATTGATTTTTTCAAATTTATATAAATTTGAAAAATTATTTCTTAGTTGTAATAATTATTCACATCATGGTTAGAAATGAACCCTATATTTTTTAAAATATATGGTTGAAAATATGGTTAAAAATGAAAATGAGGGAGAAATGATAATAAAAATGAGCTAGAACCGGCATTTTCCTACTACTGATGTTTAAAAAAATTTGACCCTAACAAGTTTATTATAGAAATTTCTAAAATCAACTGGGAGCTTATAATTAAAAAAGAGGACAATATTAATGAATCCATCAATAATTTTTTAAAATCATTTAATATGATTCTAGACCAATGGGCCCCCTATAAAACTTTGACTAAAAATCAAATCAAACTAAAATCTAAACCCTGGATATCTAAAGGCTTACTTAAATCTATCTCTGTAAAAAACAAACTCTACAAAAAATTTGTAAGATGTAAAAACATTAATACTAAAAATGAGCTTTTCACAAAATTTAAATTCTATAGAAATAAAATTAGCAACTTATTAAAAAGTAGTAAAAAATCATACTACATAACTTATTTTAATAACAACATAAACAACATAAAAAATACATGAAAAGGCATAAAAGATATCATAAATATTAAAGGATCATTACATAAAACACCTACTCAGTTAAATCTGAATGAAAATATTATCACAGACCATGCCACTGTTTCGAATATATTTAATAACTACTTTGTCTCTATTCGTGAAAAATTACTCAATAATATTATGCCAATATTATGCCAGAATATACTTATAGTGACTTTCTTAATTTTCCTAATGCTAATTCTTTCTTTATTGATCCTGTTAGTAAAGATGAGGTATTTAGTCTTATTAGTAATACTCTTAAAAATGATAAAAGTTATGGACCTAATAGCATGCCTCCATTTTTTCTTAAACTTACCTCTCACATAATCTCTAAACCTCTTAGCATTATGATAAATAATTCTTTTAAAAATGGCAAATTCCCTGATGTTTTTAAAGTAGCTCAAGTCATTCCAATTTATAAAGCAGGCTCCTTACTAGACTTTTCTAACTATCGACCCATTTCCCTTCTTTCCAACCTAAGCAAACTTTTTGAGAAGGCTATGCATAACAGACTATACAAGTTTCTAGATAAATTTAAATGCTTGTACCAGCATCAATATGGATTTCGAAGCAAACATTCTACAACCCTTGCACTTATTGAAATTACTGAGAAGATTAGAAGAGCTCTAGATAATAAACAGGTAATACAATAATAAAAGGTAATAAAAGGGGTGTTTGTAGATTTGCAGAAAGTATTTGATACTGTGGATCACTCCATCCTTCTCACAAAATTAGAATACTACGGAATCAGAGGCATCCCGCTAAAATGGTTTACTTCATGTCTCAAAAATAGAACACAGTTTGTTTCCATTAATAGCACTAAATCTGATTTACAGAATTGCTCAAATGGCGTCCCACAAGGTTCAGTTTTAGGACCACTTCTTTTTCTTCTTTTTATTAATGACTTGAATACTTCTTTTAAATTTGCAACTGCTTACCATTTTGCTGATGATACTAACATGTTACTGTTTGACAAATCACTTAAAAAAATCCACAAACATATTAATCATGATCTTGGAAACCTTGTTCAGTGGCTTCATTCTAATGAACTTTCTTTTAATTCTAACAAAACAGAGCTTATCATCTTTAAATCCAATCTGGCACCAATTAAAAAGCAATTAAATTTCAGACTAAGTGGACAAAAAATTTATCCTTTAGACTCTATTAAATATCTTGGGATTAAAATTGATTCTAATCTTTCTTTTCAAGGCCATCTGAATGACTTAGCAATGAAACTCAGGAGATCTAATGGAATGCTAGCCAAAGTCCGCCATTATGTTAATCTAGAAACTCTGCTAAATATTTATCATGCTATTTTCGGGTCCCATCTAAGATATGCATGTCAAGTATGGGGACAATCCCATAAACAAATCATTTTAAGGTTGTCCCATCTCCAAAATAAAGCCTTGAAAATAATATATTTTCAGTATAATAACTCTAAATCTAATATACTATACCTAATCTCCAAAATATTAAAAATAAGCGACCTTGTGGTATTCCTCAACTGCCTATTTGTCTGGAATTATCATCACAAAAACCTTCCCCTATCATTCAACAATTTCTTTTCAATTACAAGTTGTCACTATCCTCTTCGCTCCATCAGTAGTTATTCCAAAACATTAATCTGCTAAATATGGAAATAAATCCATTAAATATCAATGTATTAGCTCATGGAACAAACTACCTCCTGATCTAAAATCTCTTAATTCAATCTCTGAATTCAAAATCAAGCTTTTTAATTATCTATTAAAAAAATACAATTAAATATTTCTACCAACTAATATTGACATTCTTTACTAGATATGTCAATTCGTAATCCTTCAGTTTTTAATTTGATATTTTTAACATTTTGAAATTCTCTACTTATCTATCTACATCTAATTTCTCTGGTTTTTTATCTGCCATTTTTAAACTTTATTATTAAACTATCTATACTAATATTATTAATCTTAGTACGAATGGGTTGGCATTCTTTATTTATCTATCTATTTATCTCTTTTCATTCAAAAATTCTCTATTTCTCAACTATTCTACTTCGTACTAAATCGTTGTTGTTGCCATCACTCTTTACTAAATTTTTTTGCTGCTGTTATTGTCTTTATTTATGAAACTCTTTTCTTATCCCGACGGGCATTTATTTTTAAAAGTTACGTTCTAAATGTATTTTAAATGTCTTTTAAACGTCTTCTAAACATTCTTACGCAAAAAACGTTTAAAAGACATTTAAAATACATTTAGAACGTAACTTTTAAAAACAAATGCCCGTCGGGATTATAATTGTTATTATTTAGTTACTATTATTATTATTATTGTTATAATTATTATTTTTGTTGTTGTTGTTGCTATTATTATTCTTATCACAATCATTGTTATTATTGTTATTACTATTATTATTGCTATTATTGTTATTACTATTATTGTTAATATTGCTATTATTAGTATTATTAATAACAGTTATTATTATTACTTTCATCATTGAATATAACGTTACGTTGTATATTGAGGTATTTACTTTATATTAGTACTTGTACTATTGTAAATTTCCTTGAAATGTTATAATTTATTTCAAATATATTTGATTTTGATTTTTTTTGATTTTTTTTAATACAATTTTTAAGTTTAAACTCTATTTTAATACTATTCTCAAGTTTAAACTCAGTTTTAATACTATTCTCAAGTTTAAACTCTGTTTTAATACTATTCTTAAGTTTAAACTCTGTTTTAATACTATTCTCAAGTTTAAACTCTATTTTAATACTATTCTTAAGTTTAAACTCTGTTTTAATACTATTTTTAAGTTTAAACTCTGTTTTAATACTATTCTTAAGTTTAAACTCTGTTTTAATACTATTTTTAAGTTTAAACTCTATTTTTAAACTATTCTCAAGTTAAAACTCTGTTTTAATACTATTTTTAAGTTTAAACTCTGTTTTAATACTATTTTTAAGTTTAAACTCTATTTTAATACTATACTTAAGTTTAAACTCTATTTTAATACTATTCTTAAGTTTAAACTCTATTTTAATACTATTTTTACCACTATTCTTACTATTTTGACCAACGTTTTTTTTTTGTTATTTAGGTGCCACAAGAAAACCTAACGGTCTTGTCACAGAGCACCGCGGAAGTGCGTTTAACAAAGGAAGTTCACGACTCCTTCCTTACCGTGACGCAAAAATATATCCAAGGCTGGTTTTGAACCTGGATCTCGTGCTTATAAAGCAAGCGCTCTAACAACTGCGCCACGGCCGTAGTAAACCCACTGTGTTGTGAAACCACAGAAAACATTAATGTTTTCAAGGCTTAAAGTAAGTTATCGCAAATTATTATAAATAATTAAAGAAAACAGCTAATAATTAAAAAACAGAGTTTTTGATTTGCTAATTTTGTTTATTTTTTACTTGACTTAAATTATTCTGATTGAATTATTGTATTATTGTTGTTAAGTTCACACTTTTGACTAAAGTCTGTAGCCAAAGTGTTATCTTTTTATTACATTCAACAAACATTTAAAGGCTTTTCCATTATAAGGTAATCCAAAAAGTAGTTACAGATCACATATCAAGTTAAACTGACCGCAAGAGTGCTGAAAAAAATGGCATACTTCTTTTCACAAATCTGAGTGGAATGTCGACATGTATGTATGTATGTATGTATGTATGTATGTATGTATGTATGTATGTATGCATGTATGTATGTATGTATGTATGTATGTATGTATGTATGTATGTATGTATGTATGTATGTATGTATGTATGTATGTATGTATGTATGTATGTATGTATGTATGTATGTATGTATGTATGTATGTATGTATGTATGTATGTATGTATGTATGTATGTATGTATGTATTTATGTATGTATGT